TGCTGTTTCTTTATTGTGAAATATGTAGTTGTTTGAAGCATTATACAACTGTCTGTACGTCCCTGTCCATAGTACAACGAATTTGCGGAGGTGTGGACTAACCTGACGGAACAAGAACTCGACTGGATGATGAGGGGGGAACTGCGGCTTACTGTAACAGCCGGAAACCTCGAACATCCTCGCGAGATCTCAGGACCAATCACTCTCAGACAAACATGTGACAGTACGTGTTTTCATTCATATACACGTGAAGTTGGTTTAAATGTAATTTCTATTGACTAATGATGTAACAGTTTTTTTAATAATTTATTTACTTCATATTCACCAGAAAACAAGGCTCATGAGAGCCACGCAAATGTTTTGGGTTGAAAAGTTTAAGGCTATACCCATTTAGGAAACAATCGCATGGTACTAGTAGCTTGTTCCATGGTGATGTTGTTGTACTTGATGTTTTCGGTTGCAATGTACCATATAACTGTATGCTGTCTTATTGTCTTTTTCAGCTATCCACGCTGTGCTGTCCGGAAGCCAGGCCATTCCCCGTACAGAGACAGGTGCTGCCGGGTCAGCTATCTTCCACATCCACACCAACGGTTCTGTTGACTACCAGGTGGGTTTTCTTGAATAATCATGCCAACCTGTCAAAATTAAGTATGACGCAAAGTAATTTTCAGGATCAATATATATATATATATTTTTATTGTTTTAGTAACAGGTTTCCCTCTTTAATTTTTATTTAGATATCTACAGCTGGACTGCGCAGTAGGGTGACCAGTCTCACACTGGAGTTTGAAGAATTTCACACCGGAGCCAGGCGCGTGGTGCGAGACCTAACTCCGACCTACAACCCGTTCTACCAAACGGTAGGTAACCATGGTAACGCCTTAGTTAGACCATACCGTGGTCCTTAATTGGCCGCTAATTGTAATCAAGTTGGAATGTTATGCAGAAATGAAAATAAAAGACATTTGGTACCGCCACATAATGTCTATGTTTACCAAAGGAAAACATATTGTTTTTGCTCTGTTTCCTCTTCTTCTCCAAACCAATACGGTCAATGACCTGAACCAAACGTCTGTTACCATGCTAACTAGTGTTGAGTTACATCATGTTGCAATTTTATAGCAGGAGGGGTTTAGATCCCGTCTGACCATATATATGAATGTGTTTTATGGCCAAAGTTACAGACATGTTGAAAAGAGGATTGACGATAGACGTTCTTTCCATTTTAGGCCACTGGAATGGAAGAGGGATGGAATCTGTTGGACATACACAGTTTCCTGCACTCTGACCTCTGGGTCAACGTCCACACGGAAGAGTTTCCGGCGGGTCAAGTGAGAGGACGGATAGAACCTCTGGTCTACAACGGGCACAGGGCAAGGGAAACAGGTAACTCATCTAGATTCTATCTAGAGCACCTCGCCAGAATGTACTGCGCCTACGCGAAACCCGTAATGTCTTGTGCATAGGACTTCAGTAGAACGTCTCATATAAGGTCGTACTCGCTTATATAAGGTTGACATCCCGTCTGTAGTTTACTAATATTATAATGTTGTGTCAAAAAAGACATCGTCTGCAACGGGCAAAAGTCTGATGCAACGTTGACCAAACATAAAAAAAAAAACATGAAAAATTCGGGTTTTGCGCATGTTCTGATGCCGTGCTAGCCTATCCTATCGATCGTGTCATTGTACAATGGTACAACTGAGGAACCTTTAATAGAAATGTAGGAATTCTGTTCATTTTCTAAGCATTTTATAACTAGTATGATGTTTTGTTTTCCAGGACTCCCGACAGTCCTTGCGGGAGTGAACGTGTTCCCGCCCCAGCGGACGGGCGCTGCTGGGCATGCGTGGTTGTCCATAGACGGGGACTGTTCCCTGCACTATGAGATCCTGGTGGCCGGGCTGAACAGGGACGTGGACACCAGCGTCAGCGCACATCTCCACGGGTTCGCAGAGATCGGAGAAATGACCACGGACTGGCAGAACGAGCATAAAATGGTCCTGAAGTCTTTCTATGGAAGCAAGGTACGTTTTTCATAACATGTTATGAACAGTGCACTCCCAGGCCATTAGAATATTCGACAAGTTTTAAAAAACTTTAAAAAATTTTTGTCGTCATATCCTCTTTTACTATTTAGATCACAAACAACTTCATGTCTGGTTTAAAGTCAAAGCTTTTTTTTTGTTCCAACACAAGAGATTGCTCTCACCTACAGAGTTATTGACACTGACGTTAACACTGGGTAAAAATCTATTTTGTATAAGCATGTACAGCGCAGATGAACTTTCGTGATAACTTCGAGTCTTATTCGTTTTGGTAGTTCCTAGGACTAGTGACTCCAGAATCAAACTATTTGCATCCAGAATCAAACTCTTTGCTCATATCACCTTTGTTTAGATTGTGCTCTGCTTTGATCCCAAGATTCTGACCATCTAACAAGTCGAAAGTTGATACGTGTTTAGAAGAATGAAGTATACACATTCTAACGCAGGCGATGGGACAGCTGAAGGACATAGATGAGGAACTCCTGAGCCATATCGACCAGGGCCGGGCCTACATACAGGTCAGCACCAAGAGGAGGCCGTTCGGAGAGATCCGCGGACATGTAAGTAAACAGCAGTTTACATGTTGTTGTTTTTGTTTGTGACATATGGAAATGTATATTTAATTGTTGCCGATGAAAGGCAACACGTTTGCCAGTACATTGCCATCAACGATGTCTTAAGAGCATCGTGCGTTCTAAAATTAACCAAACAAGACGATGATGATATAGGTTCAATGCACTTTGTAGTTCTTATCATAGTCGCATGGAGGTGTTGAAGAGGTACATGCAGCTCTTGTCCCAGTGAGATGTCATCTGATGTTTATAATAAACTTGCAAGATAATCACTATTGAACATAGTAGCCAACATTGTCTAGAATGGTCGTTTGGGTGTCAAGTAAAACTATTCCACTGTGTGCCTTTTCTGCTCAACCATGTAAATAAAAACCTTGATGTATATGCAATGTTAGTCTTTTTTTATTGTTCAACTAAAATAAATAAAACATGGAATGAGTCCGTATCTTAAAGTTATAACCAGAAATACATGATGCAAGTGCTAGACATGTTAAAGATTTATAAATCCTTTCCCAGGTCCAAATCCCCAATCGATGTCACTCTCGTCACAACCTGTACGAGGAGGAGGAGCAAGACTCCGTTGCCATGACACCAGACCTGGACTACGAGCGAGTGAAGGAGGACCCGAACAGCTGTTACTTCGAAGGGGAGTACCGCGGTCACGGCTCCACATGGGTACCGGCGTACGACCAGAAGTGTAGTACCTGCAAGTGCCAGGTAAATACAGGTCCCAAGTCTTGTACAAGGCGCTTTTATGTTTACCAAAGGAAAACATATTGTTTTTGCTCAGTTTCTTCCTCCTCTTCTTCTTCCGTTCCAAACAAATAAAGTCAATGACTAGAAGCAGACGCGTCTGTCACCATGGTAACTGGTGTTGGGTTACATCATGTTGCAATTTTATAGCATTAGGGATTTAGACTGCTGTCTGACCATATCTATGACTGTGTTTGAGTAAGAATTAATAGGCTAGGGAACACCATTTGCGAAGGTAAACATTATACATTTGCTTTGCAAATGCTACCTTTCTAGTTTAATCATTGTTCCAATACTAGCTGTCGCCATGACGTCACAGACAGCAAGTGGTAGGCAAAAAGCGGGCGACGTAAGTTAGGTGATTTGCCTACCAATAATTTGCATATCACTTCAAATATTTTGCATGGGTATGATGTAAACAAAAACAGCAAAACAGCGATCGCTCGACACATGCGCCATATTGGATTACAGTGTATGCCTGCTGTTGTAATCAATTTACCCACCAACACCTGGTCCCCGATACTTATGACGTCAATGATAGATAGAGTAAAGGATAAAAGGTTGTCATTCGGTTGTTCAGAGATTCAAAACACATAAGCACACGATAGCGCGACCAGGACAGAGTCCGCTAGAATATGGCGTCTGTGCTACTCTATATCATTGAAGAGCAATGCAGTTATTCTAGGCGTCTTTTGTGGGACGCATTTAGTTCTAAAGTTGTGAGCGCCCTTTAAAGTACGTTTCGAGGTACCTTTATTACTTTTGAATAAAAGGTAAATAACCATTGATGTTCAATCGTGAAACACCATCGCTTCCTAGTCTAAGCCTTCGGAATTAGAAAACTAGGGCAGCGGTAACGCCTTACTTATATTGTCACAACATTCATGTCCGCATCCCGGATACATTACGGAAAACGCCCGTATCGTCAGGCGGATTTGTCTCTATTTCGGGACCACACTGGTAAACCGAGACACATAACGCTAATCTCTGCTTTATTCTTTCCTTAGAAAAGTACGGTGATTTGTGACCCGGTGGCCTGCCCGCAGCCCGACTGTTATAACCCGGTCATCCCGGAGGGAGAATGCTGCCCAAAATGCCCCGGTAATGTTCTCATGTATTGACTTGAGGGATGAAGTTTATCTTTTAACCTGACCCTTTTTGTTTATAACAACAGGTGTGAATAGTACAAGTAAACATATATAATTATGAACTATTTTTGATATGCATCAAGTCATATTTGAAGGATAATGAAACAAAATAAGAATAATGTATACTGAAATTTAAAGTTCTTTGTGCATAGAAATGTGCACAGTTGTTTTATTTTTTCTTGATTTTTTGTCCTTTGGTTTGCAGACGAAATTCAAAATAACCAGGCCACCCGGTCTCAGCAACGGAACTCAGCGGTCAAAGGAAGTAAGTCTTCAGCTTCGTATTCTCTTAATATCAAGTATGTTTCTAAATAATTTGAAGTTTATGACATAGTTGCAGGGATCAGTTATGTTTAATCTTCAGAGCCCCTCTAGCACACTGAATGTTGGCAATGTAAGTTTCATTCTTCTCATTTCCTGTCTTCTCCCTTTTTTTTAGGAAAATCAGGCATCATCGTCCAACAAGAGACGGAAGGTAAGATGATACATGTACAAGATAGAGTTCAGTGACCTCCTCGCTATCTTCTGTGTTAGCCTTTCCGTATGCATATCGGTTAATGACCTCCTCTACCCAGTTAAAAGCCCATATTATCAAACAATTCGTTTATTTCATTATTTCACATTCAACTGATTCAGTCATCACCTACACCCACAAGTTGTTTTTCACTTTTCATACCCTGGAGCACCATGTGTATTTACTTTCTTGACCCTTTTGAAGTGTTTTTTGTGTGTATAATGAGAAATATGGTTGGCTTTTATGAGCGTTAATGCCATATTCCCCACCCATTCATGTAGATAATGTTATTAGAACACGAGTTAAATGATTCACATGACAAGATTCAAGGCGTCAGATGTCCTGTTTGGATAATCAAATTCAGACCATTATTTCACAATTAGTAGTAAAAAAGAGGTCACACGAAATAGGAAACGATTTCTACCACGACCATGAGAAAGAGAATGAATGCCAGGGTTCTCACCAGGATTTTTTCACAGCGTAGGGGTCAGGTATAGAAGGGCAACTTTCTGCGGCGCGAGTCGCGCATCAATATCCCAAAAACATGGGTCTGATATTCTCCCCCCAAAATTTTGTAACTCATATTAACCACTTAAGACAGTATTTATTGTTTATTGGGGGACAGATTTTGTTTTTCCTTTGTTCAGCTTCATTCTTAAGTTGTATTTTCCTTTTTTTTTAAAGATTAATGAAGCTTCTGCCCCCCAAAACCACCCCTAAGCTGGTCGAAACACAGTTTAGGGGGCTAAATCACAGCGTAGAGGGCCCCTACGCTCAAACAGCCTGGTGAGAACTATGAATGCCAATTATGTTCCGGGGAGTAGAAGATGCTAATCATATCATTGTAAATTGGGCAGTAATAATAAACATTCATTCGCACTGGTATAGACGTCATTATTTTCTTCATTGAATGCCAAGGTGAGCATGCCCCAGTTACATCTAATAGCGCTAGCTAGAGTGACCCAAGTGACCCGACACTTCCGTCAAATGATATTGATGCCGAGCAAATTAGGCAAATTGGTACAATGGGGAGATACATATAGGGATGGGGTTTTACATCAATTTAATTGCTTATTGACTGGTATGTACGGTTACTATTGAAAGTTATTTACTGATAACGATACTTCGTTTCTATTCCAAGGGTGTTACTTTGATGGAGACAAAAAATTCCATAGTTATGACGAAGAGTGGCATCCGTACGTCCCACCTTTCGGCTACATCAAATGTGCCATCTGTGTGTGCGAGGTAAGGAAAACTACGCATTCCATGATTAAAGGTAACTTTTGTCCCAACACAAAAGAGAAATGTTCCCACCTAGAGCTTTCTACCAGGTCTTCTTCAGTAGACTGACCCAGGCCCCATTCCCACCACGATAAAATTGTCCGGATCGAGCCAACTCGGCTTTTCGATCCGGCTTTGATTCTGCTTCGAGCAGGAATGAGGCGGATCGGTACCGGATCGAGTCGGATCGAAGCCGGATCAAGCCGAATCAATTCAGCTCGATTCGGACTATTTATCCTAGTGGGACTAGGGCCCTTGTGAGACTTGGCTTCTCTGAAGTGTGACGTCAACAGATCTAGAGGGTCAGCTGAGGAAGAGCAGAGTGACTGGTCGAAAGCTCCACATGAGAACATTTTTGTGTTGGAACAAAAGTTTTACCTACATGTAAACACCAACACAGACGGGCTTTCATGATAGAACTCTGACTTCATGCACAGGTGAAAAATCACACTGATGGGCAAAGTTGTTGCTTCTTTACCACGTAATCTCTATGCACATTTGCTCCTAATTATGTTTCTAACACACACACACACACACACACACACACACACACACACACACACACACACACATATCAAAAGAAGACGTCGCAGTCTTCATATCTTTTGCATTTACCAACATAAAGCAACATTGTCTCAGATGTTTTTCATACGCTATTAATTAATTATCAATGCTGGCTATTTGACAAATCAATGGGCAAGCTCCAAATGGACCTGCCAACAGGTACTGTACATTTTCACCGATGCAAACTTTAACCATCGTCGCTTTGCGATGTTTTTTTTATTCTCTCACAGAAGGGAACCAACCAGGTGAACTGTAACCGTGTGCGGTGCCCGGTGCTGAGATGTAAGAACCCGATCAGAGTCAGCCCTACAGACTGCTGTAAACAGTGCCCAGGTCAGTAATATAACTTAGGAATTTTTTTTAACCCTCTCTCGTTTGATTGTATGATTAAGTTTGGTTTGGCTGTTCAGCACACACAACCACGGCAGCCCAACTAGCCTGTGGCTATTACAAAGGGATTGCCCTGTTGACAAGACATGACAATAACATACAATATGTGCAGATCAACAGTCTATAGGATCACTCTATGTAGATAAAAACATTGTACAAACGAATTAAATTTGAGCAGCTCAACATTCTAGAGAATCATTCTATATAGACAAAAACATCGTACAAACGAATTAAATTTGATGATATGCTAATCTCCAAAGGGATTAGATTTGCTATGCATGTCTGTTCTGCAGTGACACGTGAATTTTAGGCCGTGTCTAAACGGAATCACCCAAGGCGGTTTACATGTGGTTTACCCCGAAGCCGGTTTCAAGTGGCTCCATGTGAACGCTCCGAAATCACATTGAAAGCGCCTCGAGCCCAAGTCACTTCTAGAGGTGGTTTCGAATCGGTTTCCCCGCATCGCGATTTGCGTCTGAACGCAATGTGATTTCAATGTGACTTCGCCTGGTCATGGATTACGGGGTGATATTTCTTTATTTATATGCAATACCAACTTTTACGTGGCAGCAACTTAAAGAGCAGTAATGGTCAAATAATGTGTCCGTTCTAGGGCGAGCTTCACCGCCTCTGGTGGGACCACGTCGGCATTCGGCCGAGATACGCTGAGAGGGGGGGCATCAGCAAGCAGGTCGTTGACCTCTGACATTAATAACACGCCGCCTTGCGTGTTATCATCAAACAGCAATAAATGTAGCTCAAGCGCATTATGTTCGGACACGGTTTCACAGGTGTGTGTGGCACGTGCACGTGGACCAGATGTGAGGAATGTGAGTTACCCGAATCGCGGTTTGGGTGATTCCGTATAGACACGGCCTTAGTCACGCTTCATCTGCAACAAATGCAAAACACGTCTGAAAAACACGTCTGAAAAACAAGTGTAAAATAGGTCAACATAAGAGCCCCGAGTCTCCTGGCGAGGTTAGGGTAAAGCAGACCTAACTAGAGTTCCCCGATCTCATACCTTCGCCAAATGATGTTAATCTTTATGACTGACAAAGTTTAGATTAGATTATCCCCCCCTGATTTAAGAAATAGGAACCTAATTTTCATGAATTATATTGTTTTATCATAATCTCAACCAAAAGACAAAAAGTCTTATATGAACAAAGAATGCATTCTAGCATTTCCTAATAAATTATGCAAATGAGGTCCTGATTTCAATAAATTATGTTTAATGATGTTCACCTCAATTTAACTTTCAAATACCACAAGTATGAAATTCCAGGCAGTTATCATTACATAATTATAAAATTTTCTCATTAATTATGCAAATTAAGTTCTTTTTAACATAATCAATATCTTCCTGTGTTTCTCTCGTTGTCAATTACCAATGTCACAAGCTTCAATTGTCCTATCATGGAATGCAGCTGATTTATAGAATTTCCCCATAAATTATGCAAATGACATTCATATGTGCATAATTGTCACATAATTATATTAAGCATCACGTAAGCTACCTACATACCAAAAATCACGACGATCCGTCAACCGGTTCTTGAGTTATCCCCTTTTGAATATTTGCAAGAATTTATCCCTGCAGTTCCAGAGCAAGCCTCTAGGGGGCCTAAACTCACGCCACTTCTTTCCCAGCACAAGAGCTACCTACCATCTAAATTTCAATACCATAGCATGTCTAGATCATGAGATATCAAAACCGGAAGTTCAGCTGCAGTACCATAATAAGCCGCTAGGGGGTCCAAAATCTAATCATTTTGAGGTCTCATCAAGACCTACCCACCTACCAAGTATCAAGACAATCCATCAAGGCCTTCTCAAGTTATCGTGTTTACAGACAGACACACACACACACAAACACACACATACACGAACGCCCCTGAAAACATAACCTTCTTGGCGAAGGTAATTACGTGGCTTCGCGCTGTAAATGTATGACTTCAAAACGGCTGTGAAATTTAATATATGGCCACATCAATCTACATAGTGGGTAGCCACCGGTGACTGGCTAATGGATACTGCCTTGCCACCGAAAGGGATCTGTTTAGAGATTACCCTTATACACCAGAAAAGAGTACATTTGTAAATTTCATCATTCCTGATGACTTCCTTAGAAAAAGGATGCAATTGTAACAAGCTGTTTTTCATCATGATACGTTTTACATGTGATGAATATTATGGAAATCACTTAACGTATTGACTCATAAACGTTATGCACAATGAAATCAAGGCTTAATACTTAGAGCAAAATCTAGCATTTAATTTCGCTTATCTTAAAGGCACCCAATGCAATTTCAGGGCTGTAAAACAAAAACATCCTGGATGAGGAAATCTGTCTGATATTGACATTTACTGCCACTAATATTTTGTTAGTATATTTTTAGCATCATTTCATACTTGAAGAAGTTGTAATAGCCCAGAAATGAACTACATGAGGCGTCTCTCTAATTTTTGGGTACCGCCCATAAATAGTTAGAACCAGGCTACGATACAAAACAAGAAACTCTTTTTCATCAGCGACATCAGATTTTGCCCCAAAGATATCAGTACAATATGCTACATGTGTTTTGTACTACATTTAAAAAATGATCAGAAAATTGACTTTGAAAAATCCAGTTTTGGACTGAAATTGCACTGGATGCCTTTAACATTTCCTCGATAGCTTGATGTAACCAAATATATACCTCTTTGCAACAGCGTCAGAGGCTAACGAAGCGCCAGGGACTGATGACGTCACGGAGGAAGATTGGCGGCATGTGGAGGAGGAATCTGACCAGAGTTTTGTCTGGCCGACAGAGACTACCATCACCGGGACAGGCACCAAAACAGCTCAAGGAGGTGGGGCTAAATGCTGTCATGAAATAAAGTGGTATCTAGAGCAATCAATTCACAATAGTACCAAAAAAAAAAACTACAGTTCACACAAATACATAGACAAAACATAACCTGAGCCAGGAAGACTACTGGCGTCAGAGAAAGAAAGAAAGAGAAATATATATAATAAATTGATAACGCTGTCTGTTATATTTCATGAATGAATGAATAAATGTCTTTATTTTACATACATATACTGGGTTAGGTACAGGTCACACCAAAAGAATAGATTGCAGATACATGAATACACTGGCACTATACGTTGTAGTCTAGAATGTGAACTCGGCTTCTTCTCGCTTCTTAGTGTAAGAACAGATTAGTTTATGATCAGAATTTGGTAGAAATATGAATTTGTTCGTACTTTATCAGGCTGCAGATTCGGGAAGGACGCCTACCAGAACGGAGAGTCCTGGAACCCGAAGGTCCCACCTTTCGGTGTGATGAAGTGTATTCAGTGTTTCTGTAAGGTAAGCAAGGGCTATTGTATTTGATGAACCTATAGTCGTCGTGTCCTTACAGTGTAATAAAGTTGATTATCATATAGCAGGGCGACGTCGACCACTGAGAAGTCTCCATTTCCCATCGGTTATCAGGCGCTACGCTCACTCGGTGGTTTATTCGGTGGTTATATTATCACACCTGACCATTGATAATCTCACCATACACACCTCGGGCAGGAAATTAACCCTTTATTAACCGTTTAATCTCTTGAACAAAATGGCTACCTATTTGATATGGCCGTCTAATGTGATCAAGTTTACATATCTGTCGTGAGATTTCTTATGAATATGATATTTCTGTTCGTGACTTGAATATTTCCATCTACTTACAGAACGGAGCGGCGGATTGTAGGAGACCCAAATGTGAAAAACTCAACTGCAATCCGAGTGACGTCATCAAAGAAGATGGCGAATGTTGTCCTCGTTGCCGAGGTACGTTCTTTTTGAATGTTTCAAACTGTGAAGATGCATGGAAATTTGGATGAAATGTTTTTTTCTCTAATTCTGTTTGACCGATTCAGTGATCTAACCACCCTTCGGCTAATAGCACACAAAAAAACAAGAATTCGGGGATCTCACACCTTCATGAAATATTTACAGATTTTCATTTTTTTAAATTCATTTTTCTCATTATGAAATGATGTCTGATTATGGGAACAAGACATGTATACACACCCACAAACCGAACATCATCACAATCCATAAAAAATGATAAATTTAGTTTGTCTTCTTGACTTATGCTGACCACAGATATGCGGAATCACATACACACATACAAACAAAGACCAAAGGCAATATCTCCATTTATCAAGGAGATAAAAATCTTACAGGAAGATAGAGATCATATGTCCAACCGTACATCCTGGCAGATATAGGTACTGACCATGCACTGTTCCGTTGCAGGAAAATGATGCGGTGTACCAGCAGGAGTAAAGGAGTAAAGTCTCGTCTGCCACATGTGGAGTCAACAACGGCGCAAAGAAGGACGCTTCTCTGTACTATAACTTCCCACTGCCAACAGGAATGTTTTATATGTTTCTCTGAATCCTCTCACATATACAGGTGAAGAACACTAGAAAACACCTAGTATAACTGTTTTATACATGTCTCCCCCAAAAAACACATCTTTTATCATCCTAAACTTCATGTATGTGAAGATTCAGTGTGATGCACCTAATAAGATATACCATTAGCCATCTTTGTATCCATTGTAACTTTCTAGGTGTTCTCCTTGACATTTATGTCAGTTGAAGGAAAGAATTGAATTGAAGTAGAGCCTTACTCAACCCATCAGGACACTTTTTATTTGATGTTCACCTTTAAATTCTTTATCAACTACCATCATTTTGTCTCAGATATTGAAAGACAAGAGATAGCGAATCACTCTTTTAAAATTTTACCAATTTTTGTCTTTGCCACTATTACATGTGCCGCCAGGTTTGTTTCATAAAAAAGAATTAGCGACTGGTGAACAATGGTAAGACTAATAATGACACAAAGGGCAAGCGTAAAAACATATTGATACTATTTATTCCATTAGTAGACGATTATACAGTATATCGATATTACAAATACAAATTGGTGATATTTAGCTTTTAAGTTCAAGATTGTTGACTAATTTATTTATTCCAGCTAGATTAATTATGGTTTCCTTGAACAGGAAATATCAATCAATTCTTAATTAAGCTTCGCACTTACGTACACGTGATCTAATACAAGCGAAAAATTTATTCGTGCAAATTCTGTATATATACTTAGTCTAATGATTTCGCAATATATCTGTTTAAGTAATGGATTGTTTACGTAACTAATACTAATACTTATGGCTAGATTGTAAAGGGCTGGTACTTTTGTATTAAGACTGTAGGTGTAGGACAGATAAAGGTAGGAAGAAGACCCGTCGTGTGTTTAATTAACGTACGAATTGTTCTTGATAGATTTGTTGTAAATATTTCATGTGCGAAAGCAAAAGATTTGGACCTCACACAGAAAAGTTGTCCGATGTGTGGTTTCTATCTAAGGTAAAGTTTTAACTTCTACAACCGTAAAGGGAAATTGTAATGTTAAGTACACGTTACACGACAAGCAAAACATAGTTTGATATCCTGAAATATATTTTTGCAGAATAATGCCAAAATATCAAGTTGGTAAGCTTCAGAAAAGACACAGGTAATCTGATGACAGTAGTAGAATAAGGCAATGTTCAAGGCAAAATTTATAGAAAGGTCGAATAAGAAGCTTTAAGACCAACAAAGAGTTTTATTCTTATTTGAATTCAGCCGACGTTTCGGTGACTGTCTGTCACCTTCCTCAGGGCAAGTCTGACTGGTTCACATTGCACAGCACAGGTGTCTCTGCTTATAGATGCGTTCCCAAACGCAAAGTATTTATATATACTCACAATTCACAATATTCACAAGAAACGGAGTGTAATATAATACACAATACTTACATACTGTTTTCAAGTAAAAAAAACATACCTGGCCTGGGGAAGGTTACAGACGGTCACCGAAACCACTTGGTTGTGTAAGAAATATTCTTCTTATTCAGTGACTTATCGACGTGATGAAACTATATTCATTGACATTAGAAAGGCTGTAGCTAGAGGCCTCTATCGCGAAGTTTTCTACCTTGCAAATGTCACAATTCACGTCACGGATTGTGTGAATGGCCTGTAGAAGCCAGTCGAGTAGTGACCCTGAATGGTACAGGGTGTCTCTCCGTAGGTGCTTATACTAGTAGATTATAGAGTCTTTAAGATGAAAAAGGTCAAAGGTGTAGCACCTAGATGCCTCCGAAGTAACCTTTATACACCCCACGAACACGCCACGCATCCAGTCTTCTAATATCGACATCCAGCAAACCCAAACGGACCTGCTTGGCTACCAACGTGTTCAGAAGGTCCCGTCATGTGATTGGCTTACAGTCTGTGGTGACGATAAGGTCCGATCATGTGATTGGCTTACAATTAAGATTCTATTGTGTGTTCAGATGCATCACAGTTGCTTCTGGAATTTATTCTTCTGCGAGAGTATATCTAACAGCGTTTCTGAATGCAATACTCAATTCCATCTCCCAATGCTCTCCCCAGTCCCAACCATATATTCTGACTCGTCTCGTGTTCTAATGGCTGGGACACACTGTTGAATACTACACAGAGCTCAAAGAGACTCTTGGTAAAATGAAGGACTGTGTTCCTGTCCAAAAATATCAGTGGCTCTATGACCATAATCCTGCCTGGTGCTTTAATTCTTCTCCAGGGTAGTTACTGACAAGGTTTCATAACATTTTGAAAACATAGGTATAGATAGTACTGACTCGACACGATCAAAGCATCATAGCCCATACAGAGGATGATAAAGTTGTAAGCCTTCCATGTAAAAACGCGGAACATTAAAGGGAGACCCCGAGGATACTAATAACTTGAAGTTTCTTTAATATTTTCCAAGGACACAAAAGATGTTGTTTGGCCGTGGCGGTAACGATGAAATAAATCAACCAAAGCCTTGAAGGCATAGAAAGCATGAAGTCAACAACATGCGGTACACGCACGGATATTCCATTATCAGGTCTATTTCTGACATTTCATCAATATAATTTGCTTCCTCGGGATTTTTTGATAGTGGTCATAACATGACATTGTACGGCGGTACAATATCAGAGACATTTCCTTGTCGTAGAACGTCTGAACGGCTCGACATGCCACCACCAAATTTGGTAACTGTTCTTTAACGTTTATTCAGTGACAATTTGATAATAATGAATCAATTTTGTGCTGCCTTGCCAATGGTATTTCCCTGACAGGCATATTTTACAAAATCCAGACATTTTGGTTTAAACGATGTAGGTTTTCTTTACTTACAGTAAATAACACATTAATTGCGACACAATGAAATCATGTTACATTTACATGTAATGACACCTAAGTTATAACGATTTGATTATACTACTAAATCATTCTCTGAACATTTGGTGGTCATTAGACACACGACACACCACATGAAAACAAATCTCAAGCTCATGCACGAAGGTAATAACGAAGTATATATACATATGTCCCTGTGACACATTCAGAACGAACACAAGCCGAACAAGGTTGGCTGAGTATGGAAGCAGTACTAGTCTGAACAGATTCTATTCAAAAGCCTACCTTTAGAAAAGAATCGAATCGAATTTGCCATATTCGGCTTTGTGTGAAAGGTGCTTGGCTAGATGTCTACGTGCAGTTTTACCGATGAGACAGACTGTTTGGACCCAGACTGCTCCTTCAGCGTCAGCCAGAATGTCTTCATTGTCACTCCATCCTGCGTGGTAAAGTGGATTTTAGCCAGTATTACGTGGCAAAGACAGCCGTTTTACCATGCATACGACATTTTAATGTAATTTAATTCTCTTCATGGTGTAAACGCTTGTACGGTGTTTCTAAATAAAGGGAAAGCTTCTACGCTGACGTTTGGCTTACTAATACTGTAGAAGATTGTTTTTTTTGTCTTGTGTGTCATACAGAAAAATATCAATATGGCCTGAAATGATGAGGTTGAATTCCTGTCGTGTTACCAATTACTTTTCCATTCGGCGAATATATAGTAAAACTTAAAATGTATTGTGCCCAGAGTGACGGGGACTGAATGGTATGAATATGAAATGCATATGAAAGGACGTCCCTGACATTATACTCTCTTCATGGTGTAAACAGCTTGTGTTTCTAAATAAAGGGAAAGCTTCTACGCTAACGTTTGGCAGAAATCCCTGAAGTCTGGAAGGACCGAACTAGGTAAAATTTTAATTTCTATAAAGCTATAATTTTAAGAATAAAGTTTTAATTGGGTAAAAGGAATGAATACGGATATGTTGTTGAACATGTGCTTGCTAGCATGCAACCGGACGAATTGATGACCACCGATTGCGACCGCCTCCTTCCAGGATAGTAGCTATTGGCACGCCACGCAATCCGCATTAAATACAGACTTTTAACCGTTACATATAGCAAAACACGATATTGGGAACAAATAAAAGCTGTTTTTTCTAGACTTGAAAACGATATATTTAGCCTAATTGTAGAAAAGTTGTCACATGCACAGCTAAACGACCAAGCTGCGATCGTCAGAAAGTGGGAATAACAAACTATCTATCCGTCTTGTTTTTATTTCGTTAGAGAATAGATGATTATGGCCGTCGTGGTGTGGTGACTACATGTTCCGACTGCAGAAGGCGTTTGAAGATTCCATTGCTGCATGGGGGGTATAGAATATTGGAACACCCCATTAGTGTGGGAGGAGATAGGCCCATTTTTGGTACAGGGATGTGATGAAGCCATTTCGTGCATTTGCTCCCGAGCAAATGTCGGCCTTTCTAGTTACACCTATTCTCGCTGTTTGGAAACTTACTTTAATGGTGACGTCACCCCGTGGCTCCACGCGAAAGGAATCACGGGACGACATGAGCAGGTCTCTGGTAGACGGCGAGATTTGGATCCGGTTTGCTGAAGCAGGAGGAACGGGCAAAAAATAAATTTACCATCTTTCAGTAGCGCACTGATACAAAGTGTTTGTCGTGTAATATTTCAGCTGGTAAATAAGAAGGCTTTATCTTTACATGCTTCTGGGTTGATCTGTTCATCATTGAAAAACATATACTGTGGACATGCAGTGGATATTAACTTACAAATTATTTATTTACAATATTAACAACGTGCTATCTTAGACTAAGTGCCAATATTATAACGTGAGGAATACTGGCAGTGGTAGTTAAGATCTGTACTTACGTTCTCCGGTTTGCTCCAAGCTTTGAGCAATACTAACAGTGTTTCCAAAGACGTAATAACGTGGCCGCTTCTTTCCAACTACCCCCGCCACACAAGGCCCTAAGAGATAACAAATAACAAGTAATTACATGTAACTACTTTCTGTTAACATTGTTGTTGAAAAGGCTTTTCCTGATACTTCTTCTATTATTCGAATTAGCATTTATATAAGAAGCAATATCTGTATCTACAAGACGTGGCTTTAGAAGATTGCTTTTTTGTCTTGTGTGTCATACAGAAAAATATCAATATGGTCTGAAATGATGAGAGGTTGAATTCCTGTCGTGTTTCTAATTACATTTCAGGGCTATTCGGCGAATATATAGTAAAGCTTAAAATGTATTGTGCCCAGAGTGACGGGGTATGAATGGGAAAATAACTGGGTAAGTAACGTGGGAGCAGTGCACCCGAGGAAGCCCAATGTGCTCCGTTAGTGAGGACGTCCAAAGAAAGGATGCGGTAGTTTGGAATATTGAGGAATATTGTGATTTTGAACATTCGTCATATACTAGGTACTTGTTTATTCATTTTGTATTAATTTATTTATTTCCTGTGTTCCCGTTACCCGTGACCCCACTCTTTAACTGGACTTCCGGGAAGAGCGGAAGATAGGGCATCCCAGTCAAAATAAAGAATATTGTTTGATTGATTGATTGATTGATTGATTGATTGGTCAATAGTTTGATTGATTTGACTGACTGGTTGATTGATTGATTGATTGATTGATTGGTTGGTTGGTTGATTGGTTGATTGATTGGTTGATTGGTTGATTGGTTGATTGGTTGATTGGTTGATTGGTTGATTGGTTGATTGGTTGATTGGTTGATTGGTTGGTTGATTGGTTGATTGGTTGATTGATTGATTGATTGATTGATTGATTGATTGACTCATTGATTGACCTGTATGGATGCCGATGCGCAGTTCCATGGGATAAGGTATGTGTACGGGATGGAAGGACCGGGAGGAGTTCAGGAGGTGCAGCGCCGCGCATGCGATCTGCTCCCCGTGACGGTCCCCGTTCTTCGTCGGCAAACCAGAGGCAACCATGTAGGAGCCAGCTGCGGAGATAGTTCACAAAATATTATATTGCATAAGAAGTAGAAATCTTATCATAGTTAATGTTTGAGATTGGAAATCCCAAGTTATGTAGAAATATACAGCATGGTCAGCTTATAAGAATGTGGTGAAACTAAGGTATAAACTTATAACAAAAATATGAGAGGCGTACATGTGATTATGATGGACTTAATTAACTTGAATTATAATGATAAAAATTAATGAGTATGTCAGAGACGTCGACAGATGATAAAGTAGATTATTTTGTTCCGCTGTCTTACAACAACATAGAAAGATAGGCAGCAGTTTTCTCCTAATTATGACTAAACGCCTCTTAACGAAATTCTATAACACAGCCTGGAGATGTCTACATTTATTTGGTAATTTATGGGATAGCACTCCTATTATTATCCCATTAATTTACCCGGAATTAAAGAGATAGTAGGGGAGCTATCCTTTAATTCACCATATAGAGGATTATTGAATCTCATTCTGGTAAATTAATGGGATTGATTCACAACATAGAGAAGGACTGAAAATCCTAAGGCCCTAAGAGATAACAAATAACAAGTAACATGTAACATTTTCTGTCAACATTGTTGTTGAAAAGGCTATTCATAGCATTTATATAAGAAGCAATAGTTGTATATACAAGACGTGGCTTATTTTAGAAGATTGCTTTTTTGTCCGTAAGTTGTGCGTCATACAGAAAAATATTAATATGGCTTGAAATGATGAGGTTGAATTCCGGTCGTCTTTCCAATTACTTTTCCATTCAGCGAATAGTAAAACTTAGAATGTATTGTGCTCAGAAAGACCGGGGACTGAATGGGAAAATAACTGGTTGTATCATTTATTTGGTAATTTATGGGATAGCACTCCTATTATTATCCCATTAATTTACCCGGAATTAAAGAGATAGTAGGGGAGCTATCCTTTAATTCACCATATAGAGGATTATTGAATCTCATTCTGGTAAATTAATGGGATTGATTCACAACATAGAGAAGGACTGAAAATCTACACATACTTTTGGCAATCTATCAAATTTGTTGGTATAAGACAAGCTAAGATGAAACGTTTTACGGGCGCGTTCTTACCGATACTTTCTACCTTGTAGACATCGTACCGCCCGAGGACAGCGTCAAACGTGCGGTACATCCGGTTGAGAAGATCGATGACGTTGTGAGGAGAGATGGAGGCGGTGAGATCAGTGAAGCCGACCACGTCAGAAAACATGACTGTCACCTGGCAGAGGGACGGATAAATACAGAGAACTTCATTGACACAACAAAAGTATAGCGACTTTCGTAAGGTCCTAACTACATGTGAACTGGTCGGCTGGCCACAGACCAGTAGTGTACGCCACCAAAAACAACATGGCATTGCTTTTAGAGCTCTTCCAGGCAGCCAAAACAACACTGAAAGCCTTTTTTTTCAACGAAATAGAAAGAGAAATATCTAGACATCTGGAAAATGACAGCATTTATCCACACATACCAAGAAAATTTTTTTTTCAGTTGGTTTGGATGCACGGGTACTCAAAATGGGCCTTCTGTGCTTGCGGGAAATGGTGACTTTTGTCCTACTGTTCAGTGGCACCAGCCGAATCTGGCTGGCCATAAAGTGCGGCATGTAATACGAGGAGATGGTCTCTTACGTACTCCTCTGGCAACCTATAATGTCAACCGATCGAGGAAGGGGGCGACCAAACCTGACGCTATAGAAGGCTTTAGAGGATGAAGTTACCATGCTGAATATGGAGGGGCATCAATGGTGTCACTACTTGTTACCCCAAAGGCCACGAAAACAACAGAAATCATTTATGCAAACCTTTGTATGAAGAAATGTATCTAGCTTCTATGTTTCAAAAAATCTTGTTGGGAGTGACTTGTTTGCCAACCTACAACCACTCTCACACAGGCGTAATGTTGAAAGGCTAGCGCTGGTGTTATTTCATCGCTATTTCTATGGTAAATGCTCCGCGGAACTTCACTCGCTAGTGCCTCCGTTTCGTAACCCAAAACATTTGAGTGGCTCCCACCAGCCTTGTTTTGCGGTGAACATTAAGTAAATATATGTATATCTAGCTGTACGTTCTGTATATATCTGACAAAAAATAAATCTAACGTTAGGTGTTCTATCTTTCAATAAGGATACATGTAGATGAATACTCAAGTACCTATTTTGCTACGTTGTGCAGATTAGAAAAAAACAAGATAGAGTTTCTCTTTAAAAAACGCCCATTCCAAGCCAAGGCCTTGTTGTTTGGTATAACTGTATGGAAATCTCTTTACGTTAATGAAATTTTGTTTGCATCTGTGCCATCTGTTGACCTACTTTTACGATTACTCGTACATACTAGATAGATTGGTAGACCCAGATGTATGAAAACAGCAGGAAGAATACAGCATTTCCGCCATTCACGTGAAGAAATACACCTATTTGTTCCATCTGTCGATGGTACAGTAAATCGTATCATAGTCACCATGTGCATATCTGATTTCTCTTTCTCTGTAAAGCTAGCAATGTTTCAAAGCATGTTATGTTATGAGGTGCTGTGGCGTAGTTTGAAATGTCACATTTTCATTTCTATATGTTACTTTTATGTACAAAAACAACCTTGTAAAAAATAGCCACTGGGCTAAATGCAATTAATATTCGTGTGTCAAGAAGCGTGACTGGGTAGATATGATTGAATATATACGAGTAGATCAAGACAAAATAGACAGTTTTAGACCACCGGGCAGGAAACGCCCTACGGGTATTAGCAACCGATAATGACTACTTATTACCCTACTAACTTCTCGTTTGATTTCCTGGCAGATATTGACTATATAATATATAATTAGATCAAAGGCCTGTATAGTTATGCCAAAGGCCGATCTTTAGTGTGTGTGTGTATGTGTGTGTGTGTGTGTGTGTGTGTGTGTGTGTGTGTGTGTGTGTGTGTGTGTGTGTGTGTGTGTTTGTGTGTGTATTGTGTGTGTATACATGTATGCGTGAGGGTGAATGAGTACGATAGTCTAAGTACCTGCCTGTTGCGTTTTAAAATTTTATCTTCCTCACCTCATCGAAGTACTCAGCCGGGACCGTGTCCGCTTTCTTCATGGCGTTCACAATAATGGCGGGAAACACGCTGTACAACAGCTGGTCTGACTTCTTCTGCTCCTGTTCTAACTTCGCGGTCACGTGCTCCAAGTTTGCCGCCACAGACTGAGTCTCACTGGCCATTTTGTACACGCCCATGACTATAAAGGGACCGATGGAGACCACAGTTAGTAATATGGTGTACCCGGTAGCTAACTGGATATCATCTTGTGCCAGAAGATCGCCGATGATGCCCAAGACTCGCTCAGAAAGATGCTCTTCAACTTGCCGAAGGAAGCCGATGTACTGGGTCATAAGGTCGAACCATTCTGCTCCCATCTCAACAGAAGCGCCGGCGATTTGGTTCATTTTGATCTCTTCCCGGGAGAGAGAAATATTTGCTTCAAGCGATGTGCCACGAAACTGTTCCAGAATCTGGACCACGCTGTCGCTGTATAACATGGCATCCTCCAGGTTAGCGTTTCCGACGGCTAGCACCTTGTCGTACCAAATCAGCTCATCCGAAGAAAAACCGCCTGAATGAACACAATTATACTTCATACTTCCAAGCATGTCATTTTCGTGAACATTTGTGACGATCGTACGTACATGTTCATAGTGCAAAAGATAACTTTCTCGGTATATGAATGAACGTCAACGAAGATTTGCAGTACGACAAAGAAAATGGCGTCCCTTGACGCAAAACACATCCTGACAGATAGGGAATTTGGCGGCAAAACGACTGGAAAGCGAACAGAAACCATAATCAGTTTGTCCTTCACACAATAGAACATAGATTTCCACATCAATAACGTTACATAACTGTACAGGGAATATCCTTCCATCGTTCCAGAATATATCATTTGATGTTTGAGGCTTTGTACACTTCCACTAAATTCTTTAGCGGGAGTGTGACCTAACTTGACTTGACTTGAGTGTAAACCATAATATCATTATTCTTGTTAGGATGACATTGCCAGACGCCATTACTGCTGTATCAAACGTCACTGCAACCTTTCTGTTACATTGACATGATATTTGCAGAAAAAAAACAAAGCGTTTGCTAGCTGCATGGCAAGGAGACTTTTAAGCCTCCTAAAGATTATACGTAAGGTTGTGGCGACTATGACAGAACGTACAAAAACAAGTCCTGAAAAAGCTTTCATGTGTTTTCCTGGATTAACTGCTTCGCTGCGTGACTTAAGCCCTCTCTTTATGAGAAGGATTTGCGTCTGTTGACGCATTAACAACTAAGAAGATGCCAGGAGATTTATCTATTCATTATCTCGCAGAAAGTGCAGATGACAGTAAAAACAAGATCAGAGTTCCACGATCTCATACCTTTGCTAGATGACGTTAACTTATGACTGAAATTCTCATTGCTTATGCAAATTAGGTCGTCATTTACATAATGAATAAGCAATATCTCCATATGCTCATCTCGTTCTCTATTACATATGTCAAAATCTTGTATGCTCCTATCTTGGAACGCAGCTAATTTATAGAAATTCCTCAATTATTATGTAAATTAGACATTTAGATAATTGTTCAAATTGAAGATTTTTTTAATGTACCTGCAGTTCCGGAACTAGCTGCAAGGAGGCAAAAACTTAGATCCTTTCTTTCCCTCGTCAGAACAATGCACGTTGAGACTAAATTAAATGTAGGATCATAATTTAGTATAGCCAAATGTGCATCATTCATCCTGTTATTCATTCAAACAGCACTTCTTTACCTTTATCTATGTGAAGATACATATAACCTCTCATTAGCCTTACAGACGACTCGGGATAAGTCTACTTCAGTCATACTTAATCTCCAAGCAGATCCCTAGCTTTCGGTGGCAAGACCGTATCCATTAGCCAGAGGAGTTTGTACGGCCACATAAGTGGCTAATGGCCACTCCTCTGGCCAATGGACACTGCCTTGCTACCGTATGATCTGCTTGGAGATTAGTCATACTCTCTTGAAACATTTATAGTACCAGTAACTATTCAATACGACTAAGTCTTCCTCGACGGCGTGATCGGCTAAATTTGCAAACCATGAAGGATGACAACCTTCAAAAACCAGTAACAGCTGGCAAATGTCAAAACGTACGTCTCTATGATCGCTAACAGGGATTGCTATATTCAGTGTGTAAGTACGCCCGTTTGTACGAGTATTCCCAGCTGGTGTGTTACATAGGAAAGGTGGTTATTACGGTTTCGCGGATATAAAGTGTACCTAATTACGACAACCCCTGAAAACATATCCGGCCTACTGAAAAATGATATCCTTTCATCACAACCCACAGTGACGCATCCGCCTGTAGTGTCATATCTACCCCAAGGCCGTAGCAAAGGTCCATTTTTCATCTAAAGGTGCAAGATTTTTTATTTACTGATGGACTGATCTTTATCACCAGCGAGGCTGGAACCGTAGAAAAACTGCTCACTTTGTCATTAATTAAGGAGTTATGTCTGATTTTGCCCTTAGAAATAATCCTCTCAAAACGCAGGAAATGCCATTTCAGGAGGTTCAATTTTCAAAATTTCCCCCTAGGAAACTTGGGCCTTCGGCGCTTGCTGGTCCCTCAGAACACCCCCCCCCCTCAAAATCCTGGCATGTACCTTGAGCGAAGAAAACGCTGCCGAGCGCTCTCTCCAGGCCGGCGTAATCTTTAGCGCTGACCACCATCTGGTAGGCTACAACACTAGTCCACAGCTGGGACCTGTCTGCACGGCTCAGGACCCTCCCCATGTCAGAGATAAACTTCTCAGTCACCGCCGTGTAGAACAGGATCTCCTAAATAAACAATAAGCAACGAAATAAACAATTCACTGCATATGGCTGTCAGAGTTCCGTTGAGGAGTTATTTATGTATTAATGACATACCTTGGGTAGAAATCTACATGCTCATGCAAAACATTTAGAAGTTTAGAACACTCTTTTTTTTACTTCCGATCTTTGAATATCAAATATTGTCGACATCATATCATACATTGCACATCATTGGAATTCCAGATCTAAGGAACTGTGATGTAATTGAAGATATCATAGGAGAAAGACTAGCTACAGACTTGTGCAATTGTGATATAACTGGGTCTATCATAAGAAAAAAACAAACGTTACAGATCCAAGCAACTGTACCAGAGTTATCAACCAAGGATTGAGCTGTTCATTCTTTCCTAGAACTATCGCAGAGTGGAACTTGCTGCTGTCACCAAGTATAATAGGGGCATTGTCATTCAATAGCGTCTTACAATGTTTAGAGTTAGATGAGTTCAAGAGTAATGTGTAATGTAGCCAGCTGCCGCCGCGCCGCGTGCCTGCGAAGCTGGTGTGTTACGCCGAAGGGCGATTATACCGGCTATACAGATACAGATACAGAACTGTGATATAACTAGGGCTATCATAAGAAAAAGACAAACCTTACAGATCTAAACAACTGTGACATCATTGAACGTATCAAAGAAAGGTCTACAGAGACAATCAACTGTAATTCATCAGAAAGTATGTCAGACAAAGGTATCATGAAAAGACTGCAGACCTCTATATATTGAATGTAATATATCATTATCAGTTTCATAAAACAGACTACAGACCTTAGCGACTGTAGTTTCGTTCCGCTTGAACCAGACGTCACTCCTGTGGTCCGCCAGGTACCGCCGGAAGTTGTCCGGACTCCGGAAGTACCAGGGCGTGTCGGTCGTGACGTCAGGCCAGGCGGGCAGGTCTGTGATGGCCATGTCTGTGTTCTCGTACTTTCGTAACAACCTGTTGTAAGGTCATAGTAAAACGTTAAACTTTATTCCAACACACATATTATACAGAGATCAAATTTTCAGCGACCACTGTCGCCTTCATCAGGATACTCGTAATTACTGACCAATCACTTCACAAAGTGATCTCGCGAGAATGGTGGTTACAAACACGTGACCTTACTCACACGATACTTTACTGATACGTGACGTGAGCAATTGAACAAAAGTGCCAGGGAGTTTATATCCTCTACCATCTCTATTAAGTGAAGGCTGAAGTGCTCTGATATTATCGTACCTGTTGTAAGGTCATGTTGATTTGATTATGGATGGCATGAATTTTCGTCAGTTTTCCCAAAAGAAGTTTTCGACCATACTGTAAGTCGTACTGAACAGCTGCGAAATGAGCAAATATATGCCGTACATTGCCAAAAAAATAATAATATTGGAAAACGATACTGATGTCGTAGAATTCCGAACTCAATTCCAAAGGCAAAGTGAAAATGTGAAAATATACACTTTAATAAATCAAATCAAGAAAATGTGAATAAAATGAAGATGAACTGTCAATTATTCACCATACCATACTCTGTATTTTATTCCCTTGTTCATCCTAATATCTAACATTAGCACTAAAAGAAGTTCATGATGACTTGCAAATGTAAATGCTCACATCAATTATACTCTGGATTATTATAGATTATCATTTGACGTTTAATTCCTGTAGGTGTGACTAGTTGACGTCAGTACGTACCCCAGGTAGACGTCAGTGTCGCCTTGTGAGCCGATGAACAGTGACGTGGTGCCCCTCTCCACCGCCATGTTGTGCACGGCACGGCCCATGTACGTGGTGAAGGAAATCTCCTGACTAGCCGCCCGTCTGCTCATTCTGTTCTCATTTACCTAATGGGGAGAAAGGTTTTCTGACCCGATCCTGGACACAGTACACTCTGTGTTTGTTTGTGAAGTTGAGAGAAGGACGTAGAAAAGTGTGGGGGTGGGGAGGGGGGGTGCGTATTATTAAATACAAAAGTACTAGGTCACAATTCAAAAAACCCTCGGATGAAGGAGTCTGTGACAATATAGAGAAAGATTTCGGGTGGGTCCGTACACTTTTAATGCGTTCTGATTTACCCTTGTTTTTACGTAGTAAGTTTATATATATATATATATAGTAAGTTCAAGCCACCCTGTTCTCAAGCGAAGTACTATAGTTAATTCAATCAGGACTAAGGGCCATTATATGATGACACCGACCATAGATAAGCATTTGTTCCCACCTCGTTCAAGATGATGGCGTTTTGCACGACCATGCCCAGAATAGGCAATAGAACCAGGAGTAGTAGTCCGAGTAGCTGTACCGTGCATCTTCTACTTGGCGGCGAAGTGCTTTCATCTTCTTTTGTTGACTCCCGGTACTTTGCGTAGAGAGACATAGTTCTAATGAAACATCTTTCAACACTGGCGATGTTCCTTTTATATACAGCATCTCATTGATTCTGTTTTGTTTAATGTCTTAAACGCTCAGGGCGTACATCCGATTTCTTAACACCAAAGCCCTTAAAAGCACTTTACGAGGACACGTCACCCACACAATGTCACGAAAGGCAGGACCCAAGTGAATGCTATAAAGTCAGTAATCTCTAAGCAGATTTCTTGTGGGCCATGGGAGTCTATTGGCCGCCAGTAACCTGTTGATAGTCCCCATAGACTGCTTACAGGCGGCCAATGCCCCCCCCTCCCGCGAAGAAATCTGCAAGAGGATGATAACTTTAGCACGTGCACTTCTTTGTACTTTGTAAGATCTCCGTGAAGACTATTTTGCAGTGACTATTTTAACAATGGCCTAGTAATTGCTTCTGTTGCTATCAAGGTAAAGCTGCTACCATTATGTCGCTAAATGATGCACTTGTCTGGCATGTGTCAAAAAGTGGTAAGGAATGCTTACTGAGAATTCTCCATTCTAGAATACACACTGTACTGTATGGCCCACACCCCTTCTCTTTTTCACTATTTCTCTCTCACTATTCGGTTTATAGTAATGGGCCCAGCGACATTAGGGAGCAGGCGAAAACTACGGAGGATGGCGCCCAGGCTATACAGTGAGTCTCGCTGGGTCTACACAGCTTAACATGCAGATGTCGAAGCTTGATGACATCCCACTGGGTGCTTCTGAATTACAACACTAGGCGTGTTGTCAACACTTCGGGTGCACTCTTCATGTCACTTCTAAATGAATTCAATTGATCTCCAATCATAGCAACCATTCATGGTTTAGTCGTGATCAACAACTTATGCAAGAGATTTATCCCGATTCCATGTTGATTTCTATGTCTCTGAAATGCTACTGAAGAATATGATTCCCCTAAATTGTACTGTGCGAGCTCGAGGTTATTTACAGTTAGATTTTAAGCTTCTTGGCCATAGTCAGTCCTTTCAAAAGTGAATCCCAGCACAAGCCGTAAAACTGAGTAAAAGGTTCAGTCATTTTTCAAGTTAAAGTTTCATTATTGTAATTCATAGCTACGGGTACACAAAGGGAGGGGGTTAGAACCGTTCCATACGGGCTTATAATTAGCTAAGCATTTTAAAGTGGATATTTCTGTGAAATAAATTATTGACTTAATTTATGCTTAGTACTAACTATCCTCAGCCTCTCGAACCACAGTGGTTTCCCAGAAGCCTTTCCCATGCCGCCAGTAGCTAGGCATATGGCGCCCGATATAAATGAATAACCAAGTCCTTGACATAACGGATCTAGACATATTACTTGCCCTCGGTTGAAGAAGTCTGGAAGGCTCACCAGCACTTTTACAAATCTGTTATGGTCAAAGGGTGGCAAATTGCATCTGTAAAGAGCGACCGACATCTGTACGTGCGTACAATTTGAAGCAGACTTGCTTTAATGTAGGAGGTTCAAAGCTCAAAGCAGGATCCGTGATATCAAAGAGACTCTCCTACGTACATATACCTACACTGTAGGCTACGATATCACTTTTCAAACATTGTAGGCTATACCGTAATATTATTCTTCAAACCATGGAGGTAGAATTTCTACCTCCATGTTCAAACATAGGTTTATGTTATTTTTAACGTGTCTTTACACGTTTTTATCGGGCTTTCTTTTTACCGGTATCTTTTGTACGTCAGCCAAAACGTCGGGTGGAAAATGGATGCCAATTTGATACTGCCTTGCAGTCACCAAAAGATCTGCTTGGAGATGTTACTTTATATGTATTATCTTTTCTTTAACGCCAGCCCAACGTCGGGTGGCAAATGGACGCTGCCCTTCTATTTCTATACGATCTTGCCAATTTGAGTCTTGCAAATGGATACTGTCCTGCTAATACGATACTGAACTGCCAATTTGACATTGCCTTGCCAATTTAATACTGTCTTACAGCCACAAAAGCATTTGCTTGGAGACTATACGATATGTCAGCTCTACTATCTAGTAGATTCCATCTGAGAGAAAACAACAAATCCTACTCTGTCTGTGGGCAGACTTAGGATTTTAGAAAAGCGATCGACAAACACCGTAGTATACATGGGAAAATACAATCCTTTATTGTGGTGAATATAAATCTTTTCATGGGTACATTTCCCCGGCAGTGAAATGCATTCGGGCATTTCCGGGATTTCAGTCCGACACGTGCAGCACAAAGGCAAAAAAAACGGTATCCTACTTTCTTGATTCGTACTTTAGACACTAGTTACCAAATACCACTAAGATTTCTGTTACACATTCATATCAAACATCAAATACGTATCCGCCCACTACATAGGGCCATTATCTCACACCTGAAAATGGTCAAAACAATGATTTCTTTACGTAGAAAGATAAAACACTACAACATTACAAATCTCACTGTGCGTGTACTTCACTGTATCCTGTGTCTTGTTACATAGTCTTCTGATCCGTCTAGACAAAATAATAAAGTAGTTTAAACGTCACAATCGTGGATATTTTTTTCTATTTTGTCTATAGAAATAAACCACTTGGCTTGTCACGTCATAATCATATTAAAAGCTTGTCTATGTTTTGTCTATTTAACTGACAGATCGTGTGATATGTGTACGTCTTTTGTGATTACTCTATGAAAAGAATTAACTGCCGAATCTCGAGTCAATCCCAACTTTAGACTGCCTTGTATACTTCAAATCCTGTTTGAGATATTTTGAATTTTTGTACTATGCCAGCATAGCAATGTTTCAGAAAATTGTATAACAAATAGATACAACATTCAGAAAATACAGTTATAAATACAGAAATACTATACATTCACAGAATGGTCAATGTGACAAGAATGTCATCACAAAATAGATCGGCATTTACATCAAATATGCCGCCGACGTACTCTAGGTTGTTGAATAGCCTACAGCTTAACAACCTGACACGATGTGTTCCACTTGTGGTTATTGTGAACGTCACAGAGTACATGCATTACGTATTTCTTCCGATTTAATTAAAATGTATCTGCAGCTTAGATAAACATGTTACTCCAGCTGCGTCCAAGAATCGTAATTGGCCAGGTTGGCCCTTCTCAGTGGCATAGTACAAGTGTACGGCATTACATATAACAATTACATAAAAATGTAAAATATACACGAAACTTGGCCATTATCCATACTCAAAGTCCATATTCCGGTCCGGTCGTAAGGTGAGGTTCAGCTCTAGATGTTAGCATACGCCTGAATACTGGCATGTTAGTAGCTGTGTTTGTAATCTGGTAGCTCTTTCCAGCCACAGGTACTTTCTACGTTCTGGTTTAAATTTCCAGTGTAAATATGTTTTTACCAACGTGTGGCGCATATGATAAATCAAGTGTGATTCTAGCTGCCCGGTTCGCGATCGGTGGCTTCTTTGAAAAGTATTATCCACAAGCTGCGTGTACAGCTGACTGCATCACAGTAATCCAATCCGGGTAAGACCATGCAATTGAATAGCGTTTTAAGGGTAACTGGGGTTAGACTCTCCAAAGTGCCCAGTCACGCTGATGCACTCTTATACAACTTATTTACGAGTCAAGACAGATATTTCAAGTTAGAAACAACAAGAGAGTAGCTATCCGTTATTTTTTTTTATCTAGATGCCGCTTAGGTGCAAAAGAACTTGCTTGGTTAGTTTGTTTGATTCGAGCCATATTCCTACACCACTGAGATTTGCATTCACTTTAATTACATTGGGATTGACGTATCCAACAGTGCAATGCCCTGTTACCAAGTTATATAACAGCGGGCATGTCATTGAAGTATAGGATAAATAATAACCCAAAGGTTTGATGTTATCGTTTTTTCTTTCATTCATCTGTAATTAGTGTAATTTCTGCCGACGGGCATTTCTTCAATCTTTGCTTTGATGATTTCATTCTGTTACTTCCTTCAATGTAATTCAATAAAATGTAATAGAAATGTTACCCATAGCCACAATCTCCTTAGATGTTTTCAAAATAGTCGGCATATTTTTTTGATATCACATTTTTTCGATTCCATTCTGTTTCTTGTCAATCATATGTGTGTTGTGCTAAAGGCGCTACCCAAATTTCAGTGCAATGTCCTCTTTACCATGTTATATAACAGCAGACATTGTCATTTGATGTATAGGATGAATAATAATGACCCAAAGTTGTACATGTGATGGTGTTATCTTTTTTCTTTCATTCATCTGTCATTAGTGTGAGGCCTGCCGTGTGTGGGCAGTTCTTCAATTTTTCCTTTGATTATTTCATTCTGTTACTGCCTCAATCACATGGGCAGTGATTCAATAGAGTATTATAGACTGCAATAGATATGTTATCCATAGCCACAATTTCCTTGGATATTTACAGAATAGTCGGCATATTTTTTTTAATATCACATTTTGTTTATTTAATATCATTATCTGTTTCATGTCAATTATATGTGTGTTGTGCTGACAGACGCTGCCAAGATTTCAGGGTAGGTATTCTTTTAGACTAACTCTAAATATCCCACCTTTTCTCACATGTCCGTAAAACAGGCGACACTGTAGTGTACAAGAGCTACACTTGCCACTTGGCACTTTGCCACGTCACACGTTTCTCCGGATAGTTGTTCTGAAAACCCACCGCGCCTTCTCCTGAAGACACGACAAAGATGTCCTTCTTCTTCTCCGCGGTCGGGCTGGGCTGTTGATGACCGATCAGCCAGAAGGTCCGCTTGTAGATGTCTGGCATCAAGTCCTACAATATGAAAACCAACGGTTAAAGTCATGAAAATAAAATAAAGTAATGGAGAAAGAAAGGCCATTTTTTAATCGTTTAGTTTAACAGCTGTATTCTTTAGTTTCTTGTGTATAGTCATGCCTGAGACTAGGCCTGTCGCAAGGACTTCTCTTCTGGCGTCATCCCTGAGCCTCATTTAATACTTCTCTTTATCGTCCACCCAACCTGCCGTGTTCTATTCAAACCGACTGTACCGAAATATACTTTCATTTGTCATCGATGATGCGACCCCTGGCGAGCAGTAATGATGTTTTGCACTGGCTTTGAATGTAGTAAAAATGGGGCGCGTTGGCGTGCTTAGCTTATAGTGATTAACTTCTGAAAGTGAAGGGTGAAGGATGTTTCAAATATATCGCCATCTATGGCCACCCGACTAAGACATGTTCGGTGTAATAACTACCAGTTCCACTCAAAACATTTTCTCATTGGCCATTTTCCCATTCTCATTGAAAACGTTTTATGATTAACCAAACTGAGTGAGTCTCCAGGAGGTTACGTCATCCCAGAAAAGTTTGACCTCCTCACCTTGATAGCCAGAGGCGTATCAGTCCGCGGCACGGCGGTGAAGCGTCCCCGTAACGTCAGTGTGTGCATGGTCTCACAGGAGATCTGGATTCTGTTCGCTGTAAGTGCAGAAGTACATGACACGAACATGTTGTTGAAATCTTCAAAGTGATGATGTGTGTACTAAAACAAATATTTACCTATTCGCTTGGATGTGGATTACATGCAGCCAGTGCTAACTAGCTAGCCGGCGCTGTACAATGAATGAAGGAAGGAAGACCTTTATTGTACCCACGTACCTGGGTTAAGTACAGGTCACAACAAAAGAATATAATGCAGATAACGACAATCTCTTACTGCCAGGGGCTATTACTAAATATGGTAGCAATTAGCAACCTTCTTTCGAGAGGACGGACCGCTAGGCGCGCAATTTAGTGAGGGTACCCTATTAGCCACTGTCTATTATATTACAAATGTCAAACTCCGATGAAAACGCTACCTACTACTCCTGGATATCGATTGCCACAGGATGGGTAGACTGAGTATGTAAGAATGAACTTTGAGTTTTCCCCCATGAGAATCGACTCTCTAGATCTGTTTTGGATCCAAAACTTTAACCACAAAATGTCACAGTCACATAGAAATGGGTTAGTAACTTACTAGTCAAGCCCAAATGTATTAAGTTGAGTGGAGTGGGGAACAGGTCATTGGGTATGGTCTTACTGTTGTTGTTCTGTGCTGGCAGGTATGCAAGTACAAGTTATCTGTTTGCTAAGAACCGGACGGACACGTTTGACGCTAAACGCCGTAAGGTTACCCACTCATTCGTTTCCCGTCTGTTGTCGTCAGACAAATGTCAATGAGATTATCCATCTCCTTGTGCATTCCGATGCCTTCCGCCACAGTACGTTCTGGCGGCACTATGTGGACTTAGTCTTCTCCAGATAGTTTTAGATTTGTTTTTAATTGTATGTGCTGTGTTTGTTGATATGGGCCATGGGCCTGATGCAAATAAATAAATAAAATAACCTTCGCTGGTTGCCTCAAGCTTCTGTGCGATGTTGACAGTTCGCCCGAAGACGTAGTACCGGGGTCGGTTGTATCCCACCACTCCTGCCACGCACGAGCCTTCAAGTATTAAAGAAAAGGAGGATTATTTTTACCTATCTCACCCAAAAAGCGACGCGGAATTACTCTAAAGAACACTGCAAATACACATAAGTCCACCTGAAGCCTCTCAAAATCTCAAAAGACGGAAACACCCGGCTACATTTAACCAGCTCAACTAAGCTTACTATACCCTTTTTCTTCTGATGTTACATAAATTGATGAACTTTATGAAGACATTTTACCATTAAAAGGTTTGCTCTTTGAAGGATTAAGAAATGGACGCGTTAGCTTGAAGTATTTTGTTGGGTACTTGGACGAAAGCACCAAAGTGGCTGTGGTCTACAAATGGGTTCCACGATCCCCAGGGTACGTTTTCCATTAGAAACAGACTGGTCGTCTCTCTTTATTTCCAAACGAATGGCAGCCGCTCTAGACCCTTGATTCGGCCCCAACGATTGTAACGCTACATGTAAACTCCTCACAATTCAGCCCATATCCAATAACAACAAGTAGTCATAGGCGACAATTCTCCTTGAAGTTTTATATTTTGCAGATTGGGAACAGTAAGGCGAAGTAAACGGTACCCGCGCTCGACCGGCGGTTCAACTAATTCTCCAAGCAGATCCCTTCGGTGGCAAGACAGTATCCATTAGCCAGAGAAGTTTTGCCGGCAATCTTTGGCACAAGAACTTCTCTGGCTAATGGATACTGTCTTGCCACCGAAAGGGATCTGCTTGGAGATTAGGTTCAATCACAACGTACAGCCTGGCCACCTATCGGCCGGGCGATCATTTCAATTGACATTATAGGGTTGTTTCTGAAATATGCATTTACTTCAATATGCAAACTGCTACGGTAAAAAGAAAAGAAAACAATGCATCATCACGAACATAATGGCACACCATATGCCCAATTACATAGAAATACAACGGAGAGAACCAAGACTTTTAGCTGCGACCACAGACCCCAATCTCTACGTATATCTTACAACAGGCGAGCCAACAGCTGGTTCTAACCCTAACATCTGCATGAAGGAAAGGACCCCCCCCCCCTTCCCCGCTATTCAAAACAACGTTTTTTGCGGCCAGTCCCAAATTTGTTTATTTTTTTATTAAAATTTTCCAGCACATGCGTGGAGGGGGAGGGAGAACAGGTGGGTCAACTTTACCAGCTCCCTCCCCTAATTACATCAATAAAAATAGTATAAAACAGCATTGGATTTAAACACATTATGAAAGCAATATATAAACATATACATACAAAAATATGGACATGTAATAAATGCCTCCTTCATAGAGAAACAGAAAAACGAGTCAGATTATGTGCGCTGAAGCCTACCTGTGTGGACCCCGATGCGGAGGCGGATCTTGCAGGAGACGAGCAGCGGGTTGAAGTTCTTCGTCACCGCCATGAAGCGCAGGGCCAGGGAGGCGATCTCCCCGGCGTGCCGGTCACCATTGGCCGAGGGTAGCCCCGACACAACCTGGTACACGCCGCCTGGAACAAAAATGTGTTTAAAGCTTCATTATGTAACATAAGAAAGATACAAAAATGAGATTTTCTGATCATTTTGCCATTCAGGAAGTGTAGGTGCCAAAATATGACGCCTTACAAGTGTATTTCAAGGCTTTAAACACAGCTGTCAGCCATGTGTTTACATTCTGGTATTTTGTGGTGGCACCACAAACTGAGTGCAAACTGGTGCAAAAAAATGTTACATAATCCCCCTTTAAATCATCACGTCAAACATGTGTTTAACGGAAACCAGAGTAAGGATTTAACTTTATTCCGTAGTAATCTCTACATCTGTACATGCTCAACTGTGGACGCGTGTCTAAGTTGAGCAAGCTTTACATGTACATACTGTATTAGCAGAGGGGATCAGTAAACATTTCAGCGTCTGATAATTTGGGATGTACATAGAAGTCACTATAAACCACCGCTGGACGAGTGTGTGGTGATTTAAAAAAAAACAAGGCGATGAAACGTAACGTACAGAGGCTATAATATAGTCTATTGTTAGTAGGGGATGTGGGCTACCAGCACTTCCTTCGCTAACGATCTACACGGTCAGAAACATCATTAGCCTGCTGATGCTCCCTTGACATTTCTCGAGTTTTCTCTTTCAATAGGTAGCAGCCTGCTCCTATTGAAAGAGAAATCTAGCAGCCTACTCACATGTCTGCAGGAGTTTTCAACAATCAATATGAAAAGGCTGCTTCCTGTAGAAAAAGGACACAGGAAATCTCGGCCCTGTGGAAAGTTCTATCTGCAGCTGGCTAATGGTGCTTGAATGTGCAGCAGATCGTTAGCGAAGGAAGGATTTGATCTTTAAGAAGGTCGTTGTACGTTTGTCGCACGCCTTTTCATCTTGGATGTGTAAATGGATCTTGGATATGTAAAATCTTTTTATTAAACAGACTCCGGCAAAATCTTAGGAAGCAGTGTTTGCTTCTACTATTTGAAAAAAATAGATAATAGTATATCGTATTACGAAAAAAAAATTCAAAATCCATCAACCTTCAACCTGCAGCAAAATCCATTAACCTTCACTCAAATGGTAGGGGTTGCTACATGTAGTTTCATGTAATAACATTGAGCGGTAAGCGTTATAGTCGGAGTACATGAAAATGCGATGTGGTTAGGGACCTTCCTTTGAATAATGTTAATAACAACATTCTCTCCGAGGGACGACCCTAACCGAAGCTAGGTACTAATTTTCATCTGGAGGAAGCGAGGGGTACAACCTCAGGGCATGTCAGGGATTCGAACCCAGTACCTCTGGATCCTGGGCCAAACCCACCAGCCATCACGCCACACCATATGTCATTCTATGTATACTTATAGTGAATGACTGACCTGTACTCTCCACCTTGGTAACGTCATAGTCGTCAATGATGGAGTCAAAGGTGTGGTAGAGGCGGTTCAACATGTCCACAACCTGGTGTGGGGACATCATGGCGGAGATGTCAGCAAACCCCACAATGGACGAAAACATCACTGTCACCTGCAACAAGATTAACGGTTATGATATAACTGTAGAACTGTAGTTATGGTAATAATATAAAGCCAGAACTCCGTTTGTGGTCGTGAAAAAAAGGTGAAAACAAACATATTGTTTACAAATAAAACTGGGTAAAAGAAGAAAAATGCTTGTTGAATAGATGTCAATGGTTTAAGCCCAAACATATAACCAGTCCCGGTTTGTCCTTGGTAAGTGTTGTCAATATACATGCGTATGCACCTTAAGCTAATTTTGATACTTTAAGAACAAAAGCAGACAACAGATCAGTAATGTTCTAACAGAGTTGTTATCTGTAGTGTAAACAGTGTCCTACCTTTTCGAAATATCTCGCAGGAACGGCGTTGTTTTCCTTCATTTGGTTCGCGATGCATTTTGGAAAGATCTGACCCAGGAGAATTTCTGCCTTTTCTCGGTCATACTCCAGCTCCTGTGTGAGATCCTTCAGACGGCAGGCGATGGCATGCATGTCAGACGCCATCTTGTACACGCCGTACACGATCGGGGGGCTCACTATCATCATCGCGATCAAGATGATGACGTTCAGGGTGACTTTGGTGACGCCATCTTGAACTTTGGCTTCAAGATCCGACAGGATCTTCTTGGAGAGCAGCTGCTCCATGTTCTGAAGAACGGTGATGTAGCTTGTCATGTTGTCGAACCAGCGGATGCCGGCCTCGGCTGTCGGGTGCGCCGTGTTGTTTTTCAGGATCTGTCGGCGTTGGGCCGTCAGTGTCTTCTCCAGGACACTGTTTCTGAACTGGTCGTCAAAGATGGCGGCGATGTCGGCGGAGTATTTCAGGGCCACTTCGAAATAGGACATCGCGTAGAACTTCACCTTGTGGTACATGCTGGCTTCCTCTTTCAGCAGGCGACCTGGAATGACAGGAACGGATGTTATTGCATCTTCTTTCCTACATATTTCATTACATTAAATTGGTAGTTCCTATATTTCTATACTCGTACAATGGAAACGTGATTATATGTGCATGTTTCACATGCTAAAAGCGTTACTCTTAGTCGTTATTGAACCCAATTGACGTGACAGTGAATTGTGCCGTGGGCTGGAAGCTTATGTAAGATTGTAACAACGGGAGTCTTACGTAAGCGCAGTATTACACATGTAGCTGGCACAAAATGGAGACAGGTTCACCTATAAATGGTTCTCAAGTGGCCTATTAAGGACTCGGCTAATAGACTCGTTCTAAAAGTCTATTTTTCTGGCGGATTTCAACAACAAAGTAATTAACATCATTATGTTCTTTGGTCTCCTGCTTTTTTCAACCACTTGTCCCTACTGTTCAATTGACATTAGTCGTTGACTGACTACCAGAAAGTCAGGCGCTTGACAACATGCAATTGTATGATGAGGTTATGTGAAGGGCAGAAACACTGTATTTTACATTTCTAGAAATGACAGGAGAACTGGATTGTGTATATTTGACCGTAGCCCTGAGTGGTTGGCCTGTGTATACTACAAATTACAAATTACATGTCTGCGTGTATTATCTACGGTAACATTACGAGTCACAATCAGTTACTATCAGAAGGAATCATAAGACTGGACTATCGAAGTGGTTTCGGCGATCTCCTATCTTATGCATCAACAGCACATGCCTTGTCCAATGCCATGTATGTCCAATGCAATGTACATTTTTGTCAGATTCCAAACGGTTTTTGTAATATTTTAACATGTCAGTCCTATATATAGGTCTTTGGAAATATTTGGTCCCTTGTTCATTATTTAATAACTACTTGTACATACTTGCTTGCCATGTATTATGTATTGTCTTATGTGTTTGTGGTGGCATGAATCCAATGTAATTTGAGTGTGCCGTCAATGAATGTTTAAAAAACAATGGTCAACATAGCACCTATCCTTGTGGTCTATCCGTAACAAAACATCATATATATCTTACCTTTAGCGAAGAAGATGCTTCCTATGGCTCTCTCAAGACCTGCGTATTCTTGGCTGAGGATGATCATGTGATACGCTATGGCTTTCATCCACACATGAGATGAGTCAGCTTTGCGGACAGTCTGTCCGAGGTGGGAGATCAGGAAGGTGTTGATGTCTGTGTAGAACCTGAGAATGAATCAATGAATTTTTAGTTATTTATTGATTGATCTTAAAAACGGTAGGATGGTACCTTCAGTTTATGACAACTGATTTCCAAGGTAGCCCAACATAACAAGTTACAAAGGACATACATGTAGACAATCAAATAATTAAACATAGAGATAATAAATAATATGAACAAAGAGTACAAGTAGTCAATCATTGGAAACAGGACATGTCAATCAAAACAAATAGTCAAAACCATAAGGCATAATCATAGTCCGTGTCATTCCAGGCAAAAGATAAGTCAGTCCATGAAAAAAAAACCTTTATTGCTCGACAATTGTACATGGTACAATGTATGGCAACAATGACAATGTGATTACTAGTAATACAATCGAGTCTATTCTAAGACACTGCTAGTATTACTACAGGAATATGAACGTAAACGGCGTATAACATGATGTGTATTAGGCGTTGCTATCTGTTACAACACTTTGGGGCATGACATAAGTAGATTGAAAATTGACATTCTAGATACGTGCTCGAAGGTTAGAAAAAACAGTTACTCATGGCAAGCAACTAGGTTTGATTTTGGAAACGGTCAGATGTTTCAGGTAGCATCCACTACCTTTCGTCAGTCACACAGAGTTGTCAGTAACGCAGGTTTATAAGTACGAACTAGTACTATTGATATTCCAGACATGTGTAGAATACAGGGTGCCGTCCATCCGCTAGTCTCCACCAGACCTAATTGTAAGCTTAATAATTGTAGAAACCGGCCTAAATGGAATGTAATTGGTCAGGAGAGTTGGCCAGCCTTAGAAGGTCAATTTGCATATCCCTATACTCTTTGATGTCCACTATTGGGTTTAGATAGATGCGAAGTACCAGTCTGAGAGTAATCCGTTTATTGAATGAAAGAAAGACCTTTATTGTACGTTTAGGCTCTTCATTACAAGCTAAGTGCAGGTCATAAATAAAGCAGAAGTGAAATTACATCTTACTATACCTATACATACTAATGTTAGCTACTATATGTGCAGGTTCAACCTTGTAAATATAATATTATGAACATATGGGGCTAAATATGCTAGTACATGGCTTGTCTAGTTTGATAAAGAATACGAATTTGAATTTTTCTGGTAACTAGTGTTGGGTTACACCATGTTGCAATTTTACAGCAGGAAGGATTTAGACTCCTGTCTGACCACATATATACATGAATGTTTGAGTAAGAATTAACATAGCAGCCTACATGCGAAGACAAACATTATGCATTTGCTTTGCAAATGTTTCCTTTCTAGTTGCCACAATGTTTTTGTTTGCGTCAGAGCCCCCAGTCGTGCGTGCGTCAAACACAGTCTTGGGTATCAGTACCCAACTACAATTAGCGTGAAACTGGTGCATACCATTATTGCGACAGCCATGACAATTACAAGATGAAAGAGGACTTACAATGGCGTAGGCGGGGTACAGGCGAGGGAAGGTGATAACTTACTGGATTTGTTCCTCCACAGATGTCTGATTTTCGAGGAGTTTTTTGCGGTGCTCCTTGACGTACGCGTGCAGGTTTTCCCCGCTCCGGAACTGCCAAGGGGAATCATCCGGTACGTTCGACCACCTGGTGAGGAGAGCAAAGGCCTCATCCGTCGCACTGTACATCTGAAAACAAGGCGGAAACGAACAGTTACATCTCTCCGTTTGATGTATCCATCCATACCCAACACGCGGGGATTGTGATCTAGTATGCTCTCTGATTCCATTCACATGAAACAAACATTTAGGAACCGAACAATATCTTTCATCAAGATTCAGCAGCACATAAGAGACGGATAAAAAGACTGGGGGAGGAGCTGTGTTGGTAGTCTATTTAAAACCACTGGAACAACAAAGCGGCTTAACTAGATTCTCTTCTGACTGTGAAATGAACATAAAGCGATGATACATCTGGCTATAAAGATGTGTGTGATCGAATAGGTTTGGAATTTCTGTTACTGCACATCTAAATGCAAATCTGTCTAGAGGGCGAAGCCATTCTGTGTAGTCACCTGAGAAGGGCATTTGAGTCCTTAAATGCTGGGAGCCTGGGATGTTAGAAGGTATAAGAGATCAATAGGAGGGCACGTGCGGTAAGCGGTGCAGACTTTATAGATACTAATCGTCTAAAGATGAGCTCTTTTAAAGCTCCTGAGAGGTTTTACTTGATATTATAACAGCTGAGGTTAACGTACGTCCGTTCCCAAACCGCAGATAAGGTTTTGGTGAACGTACTGCTTAAGGATCCGAATTACTTTTCCTATTTAGATGTAATTGCTTTCCCCACACTTTGTATTAATTAAATTTGTCTTTTAGGGCTACGTGCTTCACAGCTCGTCCTCAACCTCATATGACCTACTACATGTTATTCGCGTTGACGTATTGCTTACATTTGATATGATGTCCTGCTTTTAATTTCCGGGTAAAGGAAGGAATGGCTGATCGGAAGGCCCGGTATAGAAGGGAGGGGGGACTCATTTGGCATGATATGCATGAGCGTAACAAGTCGTTCGGTTCGATGTGATATAGCTAGCCTCCGCCGCGCCAGCGCGGGTACCTGCGAAGCTGGTGTGTTACGCCGAAGGGCGGTTATACTGGCTATACCGATACAGATACAGACAGTAAATTTCTATGACATCTCCGGCTAATATTGCCAGTCGTCTTCAATATACAGTAAATCACACTGCTGTGGAAACGCTATAACGGTAAAGACGAGAAAGCGTAGGCGTGGGCACAAGCTAACACAAGCCTGCTGAACATTTGCTGCTTAAAGTGTAGATAATACAGTGCTCTCCTGTTATTTGCATGGACCATTTGTCAGGGAATTTTATTCCTATAACAGGTTTAGTCCAATAACCTTAGGAGAGTCCACACGACCGACAGGGAGGGGAGGTCAGTTGGTTATGGATGATACTGTAGTGAATGGGAAATGGTTTGGGTTTTCAGAATTTTATGCAGATCCCAGGTTTATGCCAATGTCAGTGATGCAAATAGTTGGTGAGCACTGTATTTGCATCCGATTATTTGGGTGCATCAGCGGCCCTTAGTCAACAGAGGCTTACAAGCATTTAGCCTCATTTCTTGCGTTTTGGAGGGAGGGAGGGGGCGCTAATTTGTACTCTTTTCTAATTTTCACCATTTGTTGATTTCCCAGTTGCTTCCCTTCCCTTCCCTCACTCCCCTAACCCTAATCCTAACCCTAACCCATCCTACCAAAACGCTAGCCTCCACCAGGTCTTTCTATGGGAATACGGATCGATAGAATTCGGCAAAAAAGAGAGAGTAAAATTGGCCAAGGGAGACCGGGGAGGTAGTTTCTTAACTGCGCGGCCAGTCAAACCTACAAGGCGGCCAAACTCCGCTGCCAAATATTCTCCTATATATAGCCAGCGTAGCTAGTCTGGAGACTACCAAAACGCGGCGCACTCGAATCGTCTGCAAAGGAGGCTAACAACCATTAGACTCATCTATAAAAGCGTCTCTCGCCGTTGTATACATTATACACTCCTAAGACTTAGTAAACATAAAACATCTGGGTAAGCTCCCTCCTTCCTGCGCTCTACAATTACTTTTGAATTTTCTAGACTGAGGAGAAAATGATACATAAGAGCTGTTTGGTCGTACCTGCGTCAGGCGGTCGTACACTCGATCGTTGTTGCCGGAGCCAACATACAGAACTGTGGTCCCTCTCTCCACCGCCAAACTCACGGCGATCAGACCCATCTCCGTGCTCAGAGAGATCTCTCCCGACACTACCTCAGCCGACTCCTTCTCTATTTTCGTGTCGTGGACAATCATGCTGCTCTGAACGAGCATGCCCACTACGGGGACTGCCACTAAGAGGAGGATGCTAAAGATCCTAAAACCTTTGCCCCTTTTGGAAAGGGCTTCCCTGTCTTTAACTTGCATTCTGCTGATAACGTTGTCGTCTACCGGTGTGAGCCGGCGCTCGCACATTGTGCCTACTGATCCGGCTCTTACACATGTAATACCATGGTGATATCGTGAAAAGACCCCGCCCCCGCTTACCATATTTGGAAACATCAAAGGGCGTTGCCGAAAAACAACGGTAAACCAATGAGCATCTCATATGTGGAATAAGCAGCCGAGGAGTGTGTGCACTTTTACTGTCGCTCAAAGATATAAGAACACATTTCCGTATGCTGGGCCCCCAAATACCATACAAATGGTATATTCTAGCACAAGTAGATGAAATGGTTCGTACGTTGTCTGCGTACGACCACGTAACTGTAGCTAGCAGTGCAACAATAGCATGATTTATTTTCACGTAATGCACAGCAACAGGCTTTATTTAGCTGTAGGAAATGAACTGAAGGAAATTGTGTTAATGGTAATTTTTTTCCTCGTATTGAGTTTGTAAAACCAATTCATATCGATACAAAGGCCGAATATTCTGTGTATCCAGTGGGCTCAGTATGCCTTTAACAAGACTTAAATACTGAAAAACTAGTAGGTGGGATTTCGGTGCAAAACCTACTCCTCCGCCAGTCAAGCGTACTGAGCTGAGAATGACGTCACTGAAGTCCTTGTAGTTAATAGTTCAAACCTTTCCTGGGCTCTGGTTAGGCCACGTTGATTTGATTATATGGATGACATCCTCCGGGAGCCCCAAAACTGATGCGCGCGTGCGAATAAAAAAAAAGTTTTGCAAAAAAAAAGTTCTTTTCATTATGAAATCTACGTGGTCATGAGGGTTGAGCAAATGGCACAGAATATGGTTTGGCGAATAATCTAGTCTTCAAGTTCATTTCTTTACAATTTCGTCTTTTTTCGTTTGATTTTGGCATTCTACGACATTGGTATAGTTTTTATTAATTTTTTTTTGTAACTTATGGTATATTTTTGCTCATTTTGCAACTGTTTTGTACGATTTACAGTATGGTTGAAAACTTGTTTTTTTTTGGAAATGGCCGAAAATTCATGCGCGCGCGGATGTCATCCATATAATCAAATCAACATGGCCTGAACAGAAATTCAGAACTGTTTGTTTGATCCAGGGTTATTACATGCACAAGGATGTGTTTGGAACACAGGGGGATTTCATCACGTCTCCTGAGATCAGTCAGATGTTTGGCGAGGTGAGATCTGAATCCAATGTACACTGTTTT